TACTGACCTCGGTGATTAGATTGACAAAGACCAGTGGGCACATCCAACAGACTATTACATCAGTGCCAGCTTGGATATTTGTCCACTTGATAGACGACACACACCAGTAAGGCCCAGAAGTCCAGGAAAGGCCTTAGTGCAGAATGGGCTCCTTGCCAAATGCCACTTGCTCCAGTTCCTTCCAGGGATACGTGGCACCGTAATGTATGTGACTTTGTTCTTTTTAAAAAAAAAAAAAGATTTATTTATTCATGCAAACAAGAACTGGGGTACAGGCCAGAGGTGCAGGGGGTGAGAGGGTTCCCCAGAGACAGAGTGGGGAGCAGAACAGGCGGATTGACTGAAATATGCTACTGAGGGGAGCAGTGGGTGGGACAGGAGAGGTCTGCTGTGCCTTGTGGGTCACCTCCCTGGCTGGGGATTGAACTCATGCTGTAGTAGCTGCAGACAGCTTCATAGTGTTGCAACTTAACCCCCTGTGCCACCAGGGAGGCCCCTGTGACTTTGTTCTTACAACTTTCACATACAGTGAACTATGCAAGTTCAATTGGACAGTTGGATGAGTTTTGATATGTTTACATTCATGAAACTTTGCCCCATGCCGGACAGTGAGCCTCTCCATCAACTCCAGGTCCCTTCCTGCCCCTGCGCCCCTCCCTCCTCTAAGGTGACAATGTGACTGGGGTCATTCAGCAGCTTCCCATCCTCTGTATCACTTCTTCTCTGGCATGGCTGGCCTTCCCATTGTTTCTGATCTCACATTGTCACAAACATCCTGTTAAAAATATCTGTGTGTGTGTTCCTGTGTGCATAGTTGCAACAGATGATGTCAAATAAGTTCTTAGAAATGAGTCCCTGACCAGAGGATTGACTCCTTGTTAGGTTCCAGCAAACATTCTCAGATGCCCTGTGAAGTCCTTGTACCCACAGGCCCACAAAGGTGAGCCTCTTTCCTCCCACCTCTGGCCAGACATGGAGAAGTTGGCAGGAGCCTTTCACCTCCTGGCTCAATGTTCTCTGGGTGTTCCTGCCTCCCTACTGCTCTCTTTTCTTCCCCTCCCCAATATCTGATGCCAAAGTAGGAGCTTCAGGCTGTCCTGCCCTCTCTTCTCTGCCCACACCTCCTCTTGATGTCAGCACACCCATTTTCTTGGCATCAAGAACAATTTCCAAGGGCCTTCCCGGTGGCGCAGGGGTTGAGCACTGGGCTGCTGTAGCACCGGTTCGATCCCTGGCCACCGGGTAAGGGTCCCACATGGCGCACAGACCTCTCCTGCCGCCCGCTGCTCCCCTCAGCAGTGTTATTTCGTCAGTCTGCCTGCTCTGCTCTCCGCTCTGATTCTGGTGAATTCTCTCACCCTCCCGCGCTTCTGACTGTACCGAGTGTTTGTATAAATAAATAAATAAATCTTTAAAAAAAAAATTTCCAAGCATATAACCCCGAACTTCAGAACTTCAGGGTCCCCTACCTCTTCACTTCCTGAAGGTTCTTCCGGGCATGTATATGGGACTTCTTTCCCTGTCACATGGCATCTGAACCCAACTGCTTTATGCCAGTAGGCATTATTATTAAGGGAAAACCCCAAATTGACTGGAGCAGTACACTGGGTCAAATGGTGTTCATGTTCATCTACAACTTCAGGATATGACCTTATTAGGATATAGGGTCTTTGCAGGTGAAATGAAGTTTAGATGAAGTCATCCTGCATTAGGATGCCCCTAATGCAGTTGAAACAGGGTCAAAATGATCTCAGTTTTCTAAGTTACACAAAACTTGTCTAATTTTCCTTTGAGACTTGCTCACAGACACAGCAGAGACTTGACGCTTATCACCAGGTGATACAATGGGAGCACTCATAGACGTGAAGGACGTGGACCTAAACCCCAAGGAGGTCGAGATTCAGAGACCACCAACATGGGACCAAAAATAACAGGGGTGGAGGGAAGGAAGGGGGCCTACCCAGAGGCAGCAGAATTTATTAAAATGGAAATATGGGCAATACTTACTTTCAGACAAGGATTGATCCAGGGATGGGTGATGTCCTGAGAATCTGGAATAATTCCCCTGGATTCTTGGGTCCACTGGCTTTATTCTCTGTGGGTCCTCGTAAGAGGCTGTCTAGACTGAGCTTCAGTGCTGCCCATGATATGGCATAGGTCTTCTACGTCAAGGTCTGCCTGCTCTGCTCCTTCCTGAGTGCAACAATCACTGAAGCTTCACATACCTGTGTCTGGGCTGTTTGTTGCACGGTGGCAGGTCATTCACATCTCACACGCTGGCTATACAACTGGGCAAGGGACCTGACATCTTTGTGCTTCTCTGCGTGTGAGATGGGGCTGGCCTGCTCTCTGTGTCGGTATCCCTGGGGTGGAGGATGTGGCTGATAGTAATACCCCATAGCCAGGAAATAGAAAATGCTGGGACTTCTTGCTGGATTTGCTTTCCTCACAGGAGTTGGCTTGTGCCCTGCTCTGGCATCAGGCACAGCCACCAACCCCAGCCTCTTTCTCACCCCCGACCTTCCTGGGCACAGCAATGATCTTCACCTGCTTTACCAGAGTTAATCCAGGCCAGGTGCCACTGCTCCCTCCTTCAGGGAGGCATCTTGATGTCAGCCTGATGTGCTTTTCCCTGGGGAACCGTTTCTTTGGATCCATTTGGCTTTTCCAGGCGAACCTGTGCGTGGGACTGGTGCTATGTATGGCTTTGTCCTTTTTGATATTCAACTCATTATTGAAAAGGCTGAAAATGGAGATAAGGATTGTATCTGGCACTGGTTGACCTCTTCCTAGATTTTGTTACTTTCTTCACGATGATCCTGACTATGACTGAGAAGGATAAGAAGAAAGAATAAATGAAACGACCACCTAGCCTTTCCCAATTTGACTTCCCTCCACCCCTTATTTCCTCTTTGCACATATGACAAGCAATCATGTTCTGTCATCATGAAAAGCATCAGAAAAAAAGAACTGAACATCCGCACTGTGCATATAAAGAGGGTTCCAAAAATGTTAGTTCCTCATCCTGCTTTTCGTATATGTGTAAGGCCGATAAAAGTCCTTCCTTTCTCTCCCAGTGAAACATCTTGGATAAAGCAGTAATCATTTGCCAGGTACAGTGTGTCAGTTAAAAGCTGGCTGTCACCTCATGGTCATTGGTTCCTCAGGGCCCCTAGAGTGAGAGGCTGCCAGCAAGCTCTGGGGGTGGGGAGGGCCTGTCCCTTTTATTGCTAAGTGGCATGATCTAGTCAAGTGGAAAGTGCTATTTGCTGGGTAATAACAGCTTCTATTGTTCACAGCCCTGGAAACATATTAATGAATAACCCAGCACAAAGCCCTTGGTTCCAGCCATGTAAAATGGCTGTTTATTTGACAAGAACAAGGTACAGTTTTCCTTTTGTAGTTTTAAGTGGACCCAGAGCCTCAGGCTGATTGAGGCCCCAACAACTGGAATGGGCTTTCCCGGTAGCCCTGAACTCTCCCTGCTGACCCCTGCTGGATGGCCTACCAGCATTTGGTGCCAGCTCTGTGCTGGCACAGGACACACATAGCCCTCAGGCACAGAAACCCAATGGTATGAGCAGGCCTACAGGGATCCAACAAAGGAGGAGCTAGGTGCCTTCCAGATGAGGGTGGAGCCAGGTCTAAAAGAAGGGGCCCAGGGTAGGAACTATTAGGATTTGCTGGCCAGGCCCTTTTCTGCAAGATCCTGGATTGCTAGAATTGACTCGTTTTGACATTAGGAGCAGTGATGTTGGGTCACATCAGCAACCTGGGGCAAGAAGGCTTGACCAGAGGGGCCAGCTGGTGAGGACCCATCTGCTTCTTTCCAGGCCTGGCATGTGGTTGGAGGGTCAGATGAATGGACAGAGTTTGGAGCTCATGGCAACTCATGGCCCACAGTAAGGCCCCCACCTCCAGGCCAAAACCATGGCCTAGGGGTGGGGTACCCAGGCTACAGGGCTGGGAAGAGGCTTTGCCAGGGAGCTGGGGTCTCCACTGAGTCCTTTCACTGTTGTCCTCGATGCTGTAACAATAATAACAAGCACCTGCCAGGGGTATAACTGTTTATTATGCACTTTCACACCATTATGAGTTGAATTGTGTCCCCCCCAAATTCATATGTTGAAACCTTATCCCCAATACCTTAAAGTGTGTCCTTTTGGAAACAGGGTTATTGCAGATATAATTAAATTTAATTAGTTAAATTACAATTTATTAGGGTGTCCCTAACTCAATATGACTGTGCCCTTACACCAAGGAGGTATCTAGATACAGACATGAACACAGGGAGGAACCCAGTGCAGACAGGTAGAGATGGGGTGATGTATCTATAAGACGTGGATTGATGGCATACCAGCAGGAGCTGGGATGTAGCCTCTGGAGCAGCATCTCCCTCAGAGCCTCAGAGGGCACCAACCTACCTGCCCCTTGATCTGGGACTTCCACCTCCAGAAAACCAAGAGAGTACATTTCTGTTGTATTAAGCTGCCCAGTGTGTGGCAGCCCAAGAAAACTAACATCAGCTCCCTTGATGTATTTCTCAACAGGTAAGCACCTGTTGAGATTAGGCCATTGGTGTCCGTGGGGAAAAGCCCTGCAGACCCACTGAGGTGCAGAGACACCTGGACACAGTATTCCAAGAAGTTGGAGTCTGCCTGCCCTTGGTTTCACTGTGGATTGATGCTGTGTGGCCTTGGGTAAGTTGCTGGACCTCTCTGAGCTTCAGTTTCCTCATAAGGAAACAGTGGCTTGGCCGCTGCCGCTGAATGCCTGTGAGGGTCGACAGGGCAAGATTGGAAAGCAGGGAGAAATATGCCAGGTGGAGTCAGGGTTACTCAGAGCTCAGCTGTCGAGGGGGCGGGTTCCGTGGATCGGGGCGGGGCTTTGTGGGGGGGGGCGGGGGGCAGGGCTTTGTGTGGGGGGGCGGGGGGGCGGATCTTGCGGCGAACGGCCGCCCTCCGATCGACGCGCTCGGCGCTCCCAAGGTCGCGCTCGGCGCTCGGCCGGCCGCCTTGCGTATGGCGCGCATCCTGGACGGAGTAACCGGGCGTCGTTATCATGTCGACGGCCATGAATTTCGGGTCCAAGAGCTTCCAGCCACGGGCCCCCGACAAAGGCAGCTTCCCGCTGGATCACTTCGGTGAGCGGTGGGAGCCCCGAGCCGATCTCCGAGCCGCAGTGGTGGGAGGAGGCAGCCAAAACGGCTGCAGTCGGCGGTCACCGGGGACGGGGTCCGGGCCCGCCCCGCGCGGCCTTACCCTGGATTCCAGGCCCCAGCCCCAGCCCCCGGCCCCGGCTCCGGGACTCCTAACTCCCTGGGCCTAGACCTGGGCTGGGTTGGGGCCGCAGCGGCCTGGTGGGGCCACCGGCCTGTACTCTCTGGCTAGTGGAGAAACTGAGGCCCGGGCCCCCACTGTCTGAGCAGAGATGCCCGGGACCGAGAGAGCCTTATTTAGGGAGCAGGGTGTGCCGGGCGCTTTAAAGAAGACGCGGTTAAAAAAGCTCTTTTGCCAGTTACGAAGCTTGTGATTTGTTCAACTTGAGGCTTAAACGGCTCATTATTGGTATTTTAGGCAGAACTGGAAAATGCTCACCGCACGTTTGTGGGCAGACTTGTGGGTTTTGGGTAAACCACAGAGGTGATCTACCATGAATATAAAGATTTCGAAAATTTGAAGATCCCCGCCCCCCGCCCTCTCCCCATTTTACTATGAAAAATTCTGATCACACAGAGAGCGGAATCATAACATGAACACTCATGTATCCCGCCGTGTAGATTCTCCCCTTTTTATCATGTGCTTGCTTTACTACCGTCGTCGATTTGTTTTTCCTGTGTCGTTTTCAGCATGTGTCTGAGGAAACATGTTTCCAAAGGAAAAACAGCTGCTACTCGGGCTGCTGTGTGACCATGTCACGTTTCACTTTAAAAAGAAAACGCTGATTTTCTTTTTTTGTTCTAGGTGAATGTAAAAGCTTTAAAGAGAAATTCATGAAGTGCCTCCGTGACAAAAATTTTGAAAATGCTTTGTGCAGAAATGAATCAAAAGAATATTTAGAATGCAGAATGGAGAGGCAAGTACATGCTGACCATTGTGACTTCTCCCACCAAAACATTTTTTTCCCAAGAAGTCATTGTAATGTGCTTTGTTCAGGTCTTGGGTTCACCTGGTGTAGAATTATTTCACCGTGAAATTGAGGCTTATCAGATTAAGTTGTACTAAAAGTTGTTTAGCAATCATGAGAACCTTTTCTTGAGTGAGGGCATTTATATATGATTGCATATCTCACAGTATTTTCTTTCCAAATTTGGATGCTGCTCACCTGTCATTCAGGTTTCACGATCATACATCATAAAAATGCTGACAGAGTCAAAAGATTTGAAGATTGTGGGTATGCAGTTTATTTCTTTCACATTCTCAGACCATAAAAATATGCACTTTGCAGTTTGTTCCTCTCAGAGCTGCTGGGAATGTGACAGGGAAGACAATAGGCTGTTTAAGAAATGATGAAAGATGAATGATTCTTCCTGTCTTAACCAGAATTCACCAAAGCTGACTTTTCAACAAAGTAAAGTTATTTATAATTACAAGTCCTTGAAATTTTTCTTAAGAAAATAAATTCCAATCCTTAATGGAGAAAACTGTATAATATATAATTATAAGTGGTGGTGGAAATTTTTATTTCTGCCTCCTGAGCCCTTCATTAGCTCACTAAGGAGTCCAGGCTTCACACAGCCTTGTGCTGAAGAAGAACGAATCCAATTTGAGCCCCATTTCCTTTTTCCCATAACAAACTTAGACATTCCCCTCAGCACTGTTGTTTTCCAGGCAGAGGTGTGTTGCGGGCCTGTGGATGGTCATTGGGACTTTGGGGGGGAGCCTTTCTGGCAGTGGGCCTGCTGTGAGGCCCTTTGTGCTGCCATCTCGGGTTCTGGCTCACACAGACTTAAATTTGACAAAAAGCCACACTGAATCTAACTCTTGCCATCTTTATGTAGCACATTGGGCTCCACATGTTAAAGTCACTGTCTTTTTTTTTTTTTTTAATTTTTTTTTTTTTTTAATTTTCTAGAGGCATGTCTTTTTTATTTTTTTTTTATTTATTTATTTGTTTGTTTTTGTTTGGTTTATACATGCACTGGGTACAGTCAGAAGCGCGGGAGGGTGAGAGGATTCACCAGAGCCAGAGTGGGGAGCAGAACAGGCAGACTGACGAAGTACACTGCTGAGGGGAGCAGCGGGCGGCAGGAGAGGTCTGCGCGCCATGTGGGACCCTCCTCCGGTGGCCGGGGAGCAGCTGGGGATCGAACCGCTGCGCCGCAGAGGTCGCCGGCAGCTTCGCAACCCAGCGCTCAACCGCTGCGCCACCGGGGAGGCCCTAAAGTCACTGTCTTTTAATGCATCTTTAATAACTGGAACTAAGTGAGTTTCATGTTGGCACTGCCATACTTTGGAGATGATTTGAGGTTCTCTACCAGGTGAGGTGTGAGCAGGTCACTCACCTCTCTGATGACATTGTCCTTGCTCCAGAAGGTTTGCTCTTTTGGGTTTTCAGAGATTCCTGGCTTTTGAGGCAGAGTAAGCAGGAGGACCCTGTCTCTTCCTGTTTAACCCTGGGAGTGAGCTGCCCAGATGCCTGTGTGGTGCTGTCTTGCTTATCAGTTTCTGGAGACCAACTTGGCCTGCTGAGGATAGGGGGCCGCTGGACAGAGATGCCACTCTGTAGGTTTCATGATTTCAAGTGACTTCACTAGTTGGTCAGACGATGTTGAGGTGACTGCACAGTGTGTATTTGTCTTGGTCAGTTATTTTGATTAGACTTTTGGTTGGTTGGTTTTTAGTGAATATTCTCAAAGGTAGAACATGGTCCAACCTCCTTCACCCAGATTCTGTATCAAGATTTTGCTCTTATCACTCACCCTCTTATACCTTCTTACGATGTGTCCTCATGAGAGTGAGTAAGAACTATGTGTTTAGAAGCACAAAGAAGGAGCCAGGAGGGAAAGACAGTAAGACATGGTTCCAGATAGCCCTTCAACAGATCTGTGAGTCTTCCGTAAAATCTGGCTCCTTCACATGGTCACCAAAAACAACCACTGAGTCCTAAAGCCAAAAGGGAGATTTAAACATCTCCTTAGCATAAGGGAACCAACCATGGAAAACATTCATGGTCAGCATTCAGGACTGAGCCATTCAGATCATCCCAAAAAAATCAAGTGGCGTCTTTGTGGACTGCAGTATTACTCTCAACTTTTGCTGTACAGTACCATCATCTTAGGGGTATTAAATTCATGAATCAGGGCAACAAAGTTTTGATGTGTTTCATATTCATTAGGGCCACATTCCTAGCAATCTCTGTTATTAATCTCAGCCTGATCTGTCCAAGGTCTCCACAAGGATCACCTGCTACCTCTTCCACACCCCACTGAAGAGGTTCCCCATCATGTGTCAGCCCAGTGACCACCCACAGAGTGGAAACTGACATTTAAGTCATTACAGAGGCCATATGTGTATTGCTGTCAATTTTAAGGGCTATTGGCCAGCTCTTTTGTATTCTTTTGTTAAGTTTGCCTAATTTGAGTTTAAGGAGTGTCTTGTATGTTCCAGTGCTTGTAGAATTACTTTAATCTGCTAACTAGATTAAACTGCACTGAAGGTTTTGCAATTCTGGGGACATTTTCCTGAGTGGTAAGTGACAGATCTCTGCATGTGTTATCCTGGAGCTCTACCAACTTCCTGGACATTGTGGAGCCCAAGAAGTTGGGGTGCAGCAGGGGACTGCCTGCTGGGGGCGACCAGCTGCCTACAGCTGTCTGGGCTCTCTCCTGCCTATTGGGGTCTTCTGTTGACTCTTTACCCTGCTAGCATGGAGACTTCAGAGGCCATGTGACAGGGAGGCATTGACAGGAGGTCTCAGTGCACCCACCATCCCAGCCTCAGCCCAAGTGGGCTTTGAGTTGCCCCCCTGCAGGCACTGCTGGTAGGTTGAGTGTACCACGTGTAGGCTCATGCTGCTCTGGAGCCCTCACCTCTTGTCTTAGCTTTTCCTGGGCATTCTCTGCCTTCCTGCCTCCCCTCCCTTTCCTATTTCCCAGTTCCAGACCTAACTGGTGACCTTTTCCATGAAGTTTCCTGGTTTTCCAGACATGAAAGGGAAGCTTATGCAGCATTAGTGTGTGTGGGTCTTGAAGCTGGGGCCCTTGGACGCATCACATCTCCAGAATGTGGTAGCTGGGGAGTCTGTTTGAAGCTCTCCCTTCCTTTCCTGGTCCTGGTTTCTCCCTGAATTTAGAGTTGGGATGGGAGCAGACTTGGTGAATCCTGTGTGGATGCCCCAGTGTGCATGGCAGGCTCTGCCCACACCTTACCTCAGTGACTTGAGCTGAGAGGCACACAAATTACCCCAGGAGGAGCTCAGGTCTCAGGTTTCAGAGAGTGGCCGTTCCTGTTTGTCATGTTAATACCTGGCCTCATGAGTACAGGGGGAGAGTACAACAGGGGGCCCAGGTGTCAAGGTACTGCTGTCAGGGTCTGTCTCACAGACAGAGTGGTGTGAGGTGAGGTGGTAGCAGATGGACAGCTGGGCACCGCCCTTCCCTGGACAACGCTCTTCATATTCTTCCCCATCCACTTTGACAACTTTCCATTTTCTTTTAGGCAACTGATGGCACAAGAACCACTGGAAAAACTGGGATTTGGAGATTTGATAGATGGAAAGTCAGAGACAAAAAAATAAATTTTGATGGGAAGAAGAACACCGGGCTGTGTTGGGGGCTTCTGGGACAGAGCATTTACACTGATCCCCCCGCCGAGTGTACTTACTGGGCAGCGTGACTGGGCAGTGCCCTTGCCAGCCGCACATAGTCAGAGTAGAGAAACCCTGCCTCAGGTGTGTCCAGAGCTAGAGAATTGTTCATTTTCTGAAGCTTCCCACATTATTTTGAAAATTTATTAGTCCTTTGGATTCTCATTTTTCCCCAGGAGTGAGGCTTTCCCCTTAAAGCTGCATGTATAGTAGTTCTGGGGATGCCCCTGACAGAGGTGGTAAGAATGCCAGAGTGACACCTCCCTCAGTAGGTGGGTGCCTTGGGTCTTCTGTAAAACTGCCCTTTTATAGCATCTATAGCATTGTCTGTTTCTTCAGTATTAACTGTCCATGTTCGCAGATTTCGGTCAATTAGATGCTGTCAGAAAGCCATTTCCTTGCAAGATGGTTTCCTTTTTGTACTCAAATATATGCACAGTTTATTTCCTTTGCTTTTATTTGTCTCTTTACAAGGTAGGCTACATCCTAGGAAGTAAGAAATTCTGGCTTTTGACATGTTTGACTATTTTCCTGATGCTCACTGAACCACACACCTTTCTACCAGAGTGCTGTTGTTTGATTTGTACCAGGCCATATTTGTAAAACTAGGTGTTCGAGTTCAAGAACTCATTTATTGTACCTGAAGATTGAATACATTTGTAGTTTGACATTTAAGTGTCCGTTTTCCATGTTCTATAAGAACACACACAGGCATGTGGGCGAGCACTTGCTTCTGGGTTCCCTGAGCACATGCCTGTGCTGGCGCCATAGTGTCCTGTCTCCACCGCTGCCTCTAGAGTAGCTGTGCTCAGCCCCGCACTGCCACAATGGCCTCAGATCATTTCTTCTTCACATGGGTCCAAATCCTTTGCGGGATTTCTGAGCTGGTTTTAATATTTGGCCTGAGTTCAGAACCATGAACAGAACGCTGAGCGCTGTCTAAGTCTGGGCCTACTTGCCCTCTGCCCCTAGTGCTTTGGGGAGGGGCTGGCCCCTATATATTGCCTTCTCCATCAGCTGGCTTTTGTCATGGTGAGAGGAGAATCTGGGCTGTATCCCCACTCAAACCATAACCTAGTTAACTAAGCCTTCTCCAGGTCTTTGCAGATGAGGACCCAGTCCCAATTCCTACTTCTGCTGGGTGACCTAGGCCTGAGCCCCTTGCCAGCAGGAGGTAGAGGCATGTCCACTTCCCTGGCTTCAGTCCTGTATGGTGATTGTCTCCTGGTTAGGTCCTCCCTGAATCAAGTCCCTCTCATGCTGGTTTCATTTCCCTGGTGCCCAGACAGCACCAGTGACCACATGGTTTTGCACCACCGCTACAGTCTACACTTTGGCACTGTCAGTATTCTAAAAACTAGATTCTTTTATATTGCCTGGTTTGTAAAAAGTCTTGGTTTTGATCACCAAACCCAAACATCTGTCAAGATATTTTATATTTTCCAACAGTAAGCATGCAATGCACAGGTTGTTTATTGCAGTTTTGGTTGTAATTACAAAATAGCAAATTGACCCAGATGCCAGCATGTAGGAGTGTGTGAATAAGCCATGCTCATTCCCACAGTAAGCACAGTAAGCACAGCAGGGCCAGGAAAGGGTGGAGAAGCTCTGAGTTCATACCATTGTTACACTATTAGCTAAATAGAAGGAAGTCCAACAGCAACTGGAATATGTTTAAATAAAAGAGCTTTAAGAAGCTCTACACATCTGTACATTTGTACCAAAAAAAAAAAAAAAAAAAATCAAGGTATACACCAGAAACTAATCAGAATGGAGACTTGTGGGTCAGGTGGGCACGTGCAAATGTTTCCTGATGCTGAGCACTGAGGACCTAGAAGCCAGGCTCACGCCAGGCCCAGATCTTGGTTTCTAAGACCACTCTTTATCAGAAGAAATCAGGCTTCCTTGAAAAAATGGCTGTTGCTAGGCCAGGGTAGGGAAAGCCCAAGGTGAACCTGGAACATCTTGTGTCTGAAAGTATTGTTGGGGACTGCACAGCTCCTCCCATCAGTTCTGACTGATGTGGAAGGAATGTTGGGGACAGAACTCATTGGCACATACCACAGTGACAACGGCTGCAGACAGGACCCATGGTGGATTCTGAAATTAGGGGCAAAAGGGGATGTGAAACGGGATGCTCGTCTAGTCTTGAGGTCCCTGAGTCACTGCGTGATTACAGAGGCAACGGTGGAAATGTTATAGTGTGGTCACCCCAGCACATGGCCACCTCCTGGAGTGAAACATCCATACCGCTCTGGCCTTGCGTGATCTCTCGGAAGTACAGCATCACATCTTTGGATTTTGTTGCCAAAATACATATGCTCCATCAATGAGAAAACACAAGATAAATTCAAACCAAGGGACAGTCTGCAAATGAAGGCCAGTGATCAGAAAAGTCAGGGTCCTGGATCGGGCAGCATGGAGACAGGTGGTCCCAAATGGATGAACGTTCCTGGTTGGTGTTTTTGGGGGAATATGGGCATGCTAGCTCTTCTGTCTTATGTTTGCAACTTCCTGGATCTGAAATTATTTAAGAAAAGCTTAAAAACTGCATTAAATTCTCTACAGAAAGTTTACAGAGTTGAGTAAACTCTTGAAATATATATTCAGTGAATTTCAAATAGAGATGGTACAGACACATGACTTCAGCAAGCCAGGAAAAGAGTTGGAGGAGCAGTCCAGAAATAGGCCACAGTGTGGACAGTTCACAAAGCAACAGCATCTTCCAGTATTACCTCTGGTTTTCTGGATCTGAGTTACTGAAAATGCTCACTTAGGAAGATGGGGCCTGTCCTTGCCAAAGCGCCCATACACACTTTTGGTAATCCATCATTTGTCTCACACACATTTGCCATGATAATCCAGAAAAGGTGCCACGGATAAATTATATATTCTCCTTAGGAGAGAAGTCAGGCTTCCGTGGTCAGGTCTTGGGCCCTCAGTGCCTTCCAATCAGGTCTCTAAGCTGCCCTCAGGGGGAGTAGTAATTCATCACAGGTCCAAGCCCGAAGGAAGACCTAGTCTTGCCCCAGGGGACACAGGCACTCACAGACAACTGGGGTTTATCTCTTAATTATCTACAGCAACACAATCATGGCTAGAATTTCTCTCAGAAATGAATGTAAACCTGTATTTTTCTGAAATCCAGTGCTTGCCTCGTGTTACGTCTTGCTGGCTCAGGACAGAGATGGATATGCACTTAATACGCAGAATCAGAAAGTCAGAATCCAGCCAAACCAGCCATTGCGTGTGTGACATGATCCCCCGGCTTGTAAAATGTTGAAGACATTTCCTAATTTTATATAGACACGAGAGAGGTTTGAAATCCTGTACCGTTGAAGTCCGGGAGGCCTGCCCTGGGGCAGCATTGGCTGGTATGCCCCTCATTTTTCTTTGTGACTGTGTTTTATAACAAGCATGCATCCTTTTTACAGAAACAATAAAATCTTTACTTTTAAAAAGCTCATTGTGTGTGTTGTAATTTTATATCATCTATAAATTGTATGCCTGTGGTTATACTGTGTTACATGGGCCATAAATCTAGCTCAGTTTCTTTTTCCTGGTAAGCACTGTGCTGACTGTTTTTGGAATGTGACCCGCTGATGTTCTGCAAACTGCAGGGTTGGCCAAGGGCTGGGCCTGATGGCATGCAGGCCCCTCGATGGAGGGGCTGTTCTGCCGGCTCTCTTTCCTTTGCAGGCAGCCGCAGGCACAGTCCCTGTCCCGCCCTTGATGACCACCCTGGGGAGTAGACCTCCCCGCGCGGCTGCTTCTTCCCTGTGCTCCCTCTGTGTGTCTTCCTGGGAGGGGGAGAGCTGCCTCTGGATGTCATTCCACCCACCTGGCATTTGAAGTGAGTCTTTTAATGAGATAGATATTTATGGATGAGGAAGCAAGGGGGTTATTGCAAGAGGCATGAAAGAACTTTCTACTAAGTACTATAATGCTGTGAATAAATTTGCCAATGTCCCATCTTTTCTGGAGGATGGCTCTGATGACAGCTGCTGCTCATCAAGTTATGTTGGGCCCTAGATTTTGGGCCTTCTGCTCGCAGCCTGAGAAGATGATTTTGTGCCTGTTTCACTGGGCAAACACACTATGTTCCGCACCCGTGACACTTCATGCATTGTTCTGAGGCCATGCCACCATCTTCTAGGGATTTGTGGGCCCTCAGGTGGCGGTCATGGCAATATCTACCTCACTGTGGTGCTGCTCTCCTGCAGGCCCCCTCAGGTGGGCAGGGAGTTTGGATGATGCTCAGAGTGTTCCTGCCATGTCAGCTCTGCTCACAGTGCCCTTCTATGCTGGACTTTGGGGAGCCAGAGTGGTAAGGGTGAGTTTCTAGAGGAATCTCAGGTAGACTCATCTCCTATCTGGATGGCCCTTGCCTCCACCCCCACCCCCCTTGTGAACCAACCCTGCCAGGAGGTGTGAAGTAAAAGTTATGGTCATTGGAAAACCTGTGGACACATCCAACACCCTTCCTCCGGGATTGGATGGATCCCTGTTCCCTACTCTTGAGTTTGGGACTGTTGGTGACTGACCCACCAGGAAGATGGTGGAATCCTGAGGCTGATAGGGAGTGAGGAAATCCCCCCCCTCCACCCAGGAGTCCTGGACAGAAAGAGATAATGCCTGAAACTCCAGCCCCCAATATTACAGCTCCACCTGAAATCCCCTAACCTAGAGACTGCCCTGTCACAGTGTGGCTGTGTGCCTCCAAGACACTGGAGGGCAGTTAGTTGGCTGACAGGAGCAGGGGCTCTGCTGAGGTGGGTCAGGCAGAACAAGGGGAGAAAGGAGAATTCCTCCTTAAACAAGTACAGTAGGTCTATGGATAATTTTGAGTTGTCTTTATTCAAGGACCTGCTTTTACCCTGTATTTTGCTTCAAACCAGTCTCCAGGACCTAAGCTGATGTACCATGAGGACTTGCTGTATTTATAAAGCCCCACCCTCTGACACCTGTGTTCCAGTAGGATGGGTTCACTAGGGGGAGGTGGAGAGCACCTTACTTCTGGGCTGGAGATGCTTGTCCAACTCCCCGGAGAAAATTGAGGTTGGGATGAAACTGGACAACAGCCTGCCTGGCCTGCTCTCTGCAACCCTCTCCACTCAACAGGTGCCTTGCTAACCTTCCAGTGTCGGATCTGCAAATCTAACCATGACCGAGGACTGGGCTCTGAAGGCGCGTCTGCTGTAAAGGGAAGGATGACAGCAGCGTCAGATTACAGAGTGCAAGACAGCCGAGGTCCAGAAGGATGCAGTCCTGGCTGGTGTGGGGGCTGTGACACTCCCTGAGAGGGGCCCTCCACGCATGTGCACTGCCAGAAGCAAAGCCTTCTGAGGATGCTGGAATTGGGATGTCACCGTATTACAAAAGCTTAGTGGGGCTGGAGTAGGGCGGCGGCTCAGAGGAAACCAGCTGCTTTCCTCTTCTGGTTGGTCAGGAGAAGGTCAGGAGCACCTCAGGACAGAATGTGGTGGCATGTTGCCCCCTGCTGGATGGCAGTGGCACCACAGCACCTGGGGATCACCTGAAGGTGGGAGTCTCCTGGGGCACCAGAGGGTACTGTGTGTGCAGCAGCCCCACATTCGTGGAAGTAAAGATAAGGGCCAGGGCTATGTGTTCCTAACACCTCAGGTCTTCCTGACACTAGCCAGACTAGAGGGCTGGGACTCTGAGAGCAGGGTCTCCAACTGAAGACCATCACTACCCATGCCTACAAGCCCCCTGTCCACTATCCATCCACCACTACCCCATCTCAACACCCCAGTTCATGTCAGGGCAGGTGCCTGGCACCACAGGGGAGACAGTGACAGGCCAACAAGAAGCTTGCCGTCCACACCCACAGACCATGTACCCAAGGGATAGATATGGCAGCCAGGGACCTAAAGGTGCTCTATCCAGAAAGGACCTGGGTGGGGCTTACACCAAGTCTTGGGCCTCCCAGCCCTGGAGACCCAGTGTTTGAATGAGGGCACCTGCCTGGAACCACATGGGCTTGTGGGGCATGTGGCCCTTTGGCCCTTGTTTCTTCAGAGAGTGTCTCAAAGACTGAAGGGAGGACGGAGCCACGCGTTCTAGAGACCACCCTTCTGCCAGTTAACCCATTACGTGCTGCAAGCTGCCTCAAACAACAGCATCTCATGGCTACCATTTTCGGCTCTGCAATCGGCTGCGCTCAGCCTGCTGGGCTTGCCAGGCAGGGGTTGCTAGAAGCTGCTGCTCCAAGGCATTGTGCACTCAGGCCGTCTGTGTATCTTCTTCGTGGCACCCGAGCAGGTCAGCTAGGTGACAGCTGGCCTAGGCATCGCTGGTTCTGGGCTTTCTCCCTGTGTTCTCTGCAGTGTGACAGTTTCAGGAGAATCAAACTTCATTCCTGGGGGTTCAGGGTCTCAGAGGTGGGGGAAGGGAAAGATGGAAAGAGATGGGCACAGCCAGAATGATATGCCAGGTGGAAACTGTCATTTGATGACCTATTCTCAGATGTCACATGGCATCTCATAGTAGGACAGTCCCAGCCCACCAGGATTCAAGGTCAGGAGACAGATTTCACTTCCAGGTCACACTATCGGTCACAATCCAGGGAAGATAAAGTTAGGTGATGGATGGATGGATGGACTGATGGTAGATTAGATGGCTAGGAAGGGTGGGGGTGGGGGAGTTAGACAGAAGGACCCTCTCTGGGAATTCTGGCTCCCTCTCAAATGCCCTGTTGCACCTGTCTGAGTCCTGTCCTGACACACTGGTCCATAGTCTCTGTGAAAGCAGGCCCAGTTCAGAGGAAAACATCCTCTGCTTAGTGGAATCACACAACTAAATGCCCTTTGTGACTGGCTTCTGCCACAAACCTCAAGGTTCGTCCACATGTCAGCACTTCCTTTTATGGATGGAAAGCAGGGCCTTTTGCATGTACGCTATGCTTTACCCACCCAGTACTTGGGGTGTCTCTACTTTTGGCTACTGTGAAGAGTGGGGCTGCACATCAGCTCCAAGTTTTTGAGCTAATATATGTTTGTATTTCTCTTGGGTAAACCCCTCAGAGTGGGGTTGCTGGCTTCCATGGCAACTCTGGGTTTACTGAGGACCACCTAGACTGCTGTCCAGCATGGTTGCCCCATTCTACAGCCTGCCCCCCACACCCTAGCTGAAACGCTGGTCAGGGGTGCCAGAGGGGGAGAAGGGGAGATGAGTTGTGTTTCCTTGATAACCAGCACGTTGGCAATTGGTGTGTCTTCTTTGAGGAAACGTCCATTCAGGCCTTTTGCCCATTGTTTAATTGAGTCACTTGTCTTGTTACTATGACTTGAAAAATTTCCTCATAAGTGGATCTTTGTGAGTTGCACTCACTTGTATGTGACTTAAATTCCACGGTGATGGTCATTGGTGAAAGGGGCAGGGCCAAGGAAGGCGAACCAATCCCAGTGTCTGATTTCCAGTCTCTTCCTTCTCCCCAAACCATGTCTGGAGTGGCAGAAAGTATAGCCCTGAGGACCTTTCTCCCTGGTGTCCTGCCCTGTGAGGTGCTGCTTGGGGAAGCCTCAGCTGTGGTGGGGGTGTCCTGCTCAGGCGCGGTGCCAGGCGCTCTGCTTTAGTAGGCCCTTGGGCCTTGGGAACACTCCAAGCCTGAGAGACAGGCAGTGAGCGAAGGGGTGGGGGAGCAATGCTTAAAGATCTGCTCTCTTCTCCTCCTCCGTGTGCTAGATTCCGGTTCTCTTTGGGAAACTCAGAGAAAAATATTTTTATGTGTTCCCTAAACCAAACACAAACTTGAGCACACCCTCCATCTCCATGAAGAGGCCCCACCCAAAATCATCTTTGGGGATATCCCCTACCTTAACACGAGGGTTTGTGCAGCTAGTGCCACTCCCTGAAAAGGGTGACAAAACCCTCTTTGGTCCTCTCTTTGGTCTCTTGTGCTCACCTCTGCTCTTGGGAGCTGGCCTGTGAATTGCTGCTGCCTCTGGCTTTGGGGGCACCATATTTCCCTTCAATTTCTGTTTCTCTTAATGAGAAAAAAAATGATCCTTTTTGTTGGGGGTAGACCAGAGGCTATAGCAGTGGCTGCAGAAATTGCCCCTGGTGATACTGTTTTAAAATGGGAACTGGGGCCTCCCTGGTGGTGCAAGGGGTTAAGACACAGCCTATGAGGCTGTCCCACAGCAGCACGAGTTCGATCCCCAGCCAGGGAGCTACCCACATGGCACAGCAGACCTCTCCTGTCTCGCCCGCTGTTCCCCTCAGCAGTGTATTTCAGTACATCTACCTGTTCTGCTCCCCACTCTGTCTCTGTTGAATCTTCTCACCACCCACACCTCTGGCCTGTACCCCAGTTCTTGTATGCATAAATAAATAAATCTTTTTTAAAACAAAACAAAACAAAAACGGGAACTATTCCTGCCATACCAGGAAGCTGTCCTTGGCCTTGCCGTTTAGTAGCCTTCTCGGTGCAGATTCTGCCCTTCTGGGGCTGGCTCCCTGGCAACCGAGCCTGCCTTTCTTGGCCTTTACTTCTGTCCCTGGCACCTTGCCCATAGATGACACTCAGGCACCCAAGGAAGGCTAACTCCAGAGGACTGACACCAAGACCTCAGCGCCTGCCCCCGCCCCTGCCCATCCTGAGAATATCCATAGAGGTCCCCTTGGGCCAATGTGGCCTGGGTTCCTGCTCTTTCCCTAACATGCCCAGTGCTCAGACCCTGTGCTTGCTCAACCGAAGAGCTATGACTTGTCCAGGAGGAGGGGTCTGGTTCTGGAATGCAGTGTACCACCCCTATGCTGGAGTCGGGGCTAATCCAATCTAAACACATTGGTCTCGTGCCTGGCAGGTGCTGGTCCAGGAGGTGGATACCCTCTCCTCTGCTGGATGCCTTTGGGGTCTTCATCTCATCCCCTAATCAGACAGCAAGCCGCTCCAAGCTGCTAAGGGCTCTCTGCATGCCAGTGGCCATCACTGGGTGCTAGGGAAGGAAGGCCCTCCCTCTCTCTCCCTGCCCAGAAACTTCCTATATCCCTGGCAGCTGGCAGGCATGACTGGGCACCTACTGGGTGCTTGGGCTGTCTTGAGCCATGGGTGGGAGCCATCAGCATTTGCCAGCCACCTCCCTGGGGCTGGCTGTGTCCCTTATCCCAGCAGGGGTGCTAGCCCCACTCCTTTACAGAATTTCCCCAGAATCAGGACGCAGCAGGTATTCAGAGAGAAAAAGAACTGCTGGTGGAAGGCAGGTGCCCACACAGTCAATGCCCCACAGGGGCTCCAGGTGTCTAGGGGAAGGGACTGCCTCTTTGGGGAGGGCCCCCAATGTACCTGGGCCCTGTGCCTCTTCCTTTTCTTGAGGCTGTCCCTTTTCCCCTCATTAATCCCACACCTCCCCCTCTTCAACCTCCAGTTCTGCTCTCTGACCCTCATCTCTGCCTTCCCTGTACTCCCTCTGCCTAGGCTGTGGATGCCCAGGGGGCCCCTTTCTTCAGCCCCTTCAAAGCTCCTGCCCACCACAGCCTCCTTGCTGTCAGACTGCCCAAACTTTGTCCCCAGCCTCGGCCCCAAGTGCACCCTCTGGAATCTTCTGTGGGCTCTGCTGGACCCATGTTCCCTAACACCTCTAGGGGCTACACAGCCCTGAGGCCTGGGCGTTTCTCCCTCTCCCACATGCGTGTGCCTCCACACCCACTCCCCCAGACTCCTACTCCCAGAGCCCCCCAGGGCAAGCCTGACTGGTCATTCTCCTTACTCCTGATCCCCCTCAGGGGAAGGGACCCCAGGATCATATAAGACCTGGGGTCTGACCTTGAGAACCCTCTAGCTCCTCCCAGCAGCATGCTGTGCTCAGCTTTCTTTCTACCGGCTCCCACTCACCCTGGTGGGTTCATCTCCGTGGCCAGCTCCTAGAAGTGTGCGGCTGACCCCTGAGCCAGCTGGCCAGCTTGCCCCTCCCCAGACATGTTGGTTGTACCTCCTCCTGTCTTCCCAACCCCAATTATCAGGGACAGCTCTCCCAGGCACGTAGTAGGTGCTCAGTTTTTGTTGAATGAACAGATTGCCCTGTGGAAACTGTCCTGTCCAAGGTCATGGCAGGAAGGCTTCTGGAAAGGGGAATGGGCGGTCAAAAGTCACCAGGGGCCGCCCTGGGGATCCCTCGGGGTTGCAACCCTTTGGGACTTGGATCAAGGATGGGCAGGCTATTGGGCTAGGGCAGCGCGAGGGGAAGCTGAGGAGGGGGGCATGGGCCAGCCTCAGGGCAATAGGTTTCCTTTGGCTTTGGGGAGCTGAAAATCTGCCTAGACTCGGATGTGGGGCTTCGAGGCCATTGGACCCCACGTCCTTCACTCTCTTCCCTCCCCAAGTTAGACGGTTCCGGACAACCCAGCACCTCTCCTCTCTTGGGGCAGAACCCTCTGAGAATTGAGCTCTATGGGCCAGGAGGTGGCGAGGAGAGGGAAGAGAGACCCCATGTCCCTCTCATCAGTTTCCAGCCTGCTGATGCTCAAGGGGACCCGGTACCACTAGCCAGCAGCTGTGGTTTTCCTGATTGGTGTGAAAAACAGCCAAGAAAATCAATGTCAAACCATGCTAGTTTGCTCAGGCTGCTGTGACAAACCACCCCGCACAGGGAGCGGCGGGGCCGGGGGATGGGGGTGGTTTGGGGCGGAGGGGCCGTGTGGTGAGAACAACAAATACTTATTCTTTCAGTTCTGGAGGCTGGAGCCCAAGATCAAGGTGTCAGCAGCTTGGCCCCTCCTGAGGTTCTGAGGGAGAGTCGGCCCCGAGTCCCCCTCCCTTCTGTGGTCTGTTGGCTTCCTGGGCCTGGAGAGGCATCACCCCATATCTGCCTCCATCGCACAGCTCCTCCCTGTGTGTGCCCAGGTCTCTCTCTTACAAGGACACTGGTCATGGATTAGGGCCACCCTCCTGACCTCATTCTAACTTGCAAGGATCCTGTCTCCAGATAAGGCCACACTCATAGCTATGGAGCTTAGGACTCCGACATGTCTTTTGGGGGGAGGCAAGTCAACCCATATCCTAAACTAGGAAAAATCTCATCCAGCAGTACTGGGTGGGGAGTACTGCCCTTCAGGACTACTGGTGGTCCACAGGCTCTGCAGCGGCCCTCCCCTCTGCCTTGAATCCAGTGTGGCTCCCCTGCCCTGCAGGAAATCTCACTTCCTGTGGGGAGGTGCTCACAGCCCAATGTCCTGCTCTCCAGGTTTTGCTGTCCCTCACACCTACCTTCCCTCTATCAGCAGCCTCAGTTTCTCTATCCTGGTGGCCAGAGCTGTGGCTTCAGCCAAGCCATGCTTTTAGCTTTGGAGCACTGTCCTGTTTCCCAGGCCTGGCTGGGGGAGTCCCTGCTCAGTGCCCAAATTGCATCCTGTGACGACCCCCCTCCCCGGGAAGCCCAGTGGCCCCTCTCCATCAAAGGATTAGGGTGACAAGGCCTGAATGTCAAGCCTAGAGCATCCTGCCATCTCCCTAATCTGCCTCATGCCTGTGGCATGAACCTTGTCAGGCTGTTCGCGGCTGGAAGTATCTGCTGCACTGAGGAGAAATCTCAAGTCATGCTCCTACCTCAGAGTTGCTCACATCCACAGACTTGGAGGAGGAATTCCATGTACCACTCAGGCTTTTTAGGACTCCTACTAATTCTTGCTTTGAATGTCTTAAGAAATCTAGTTAGCAAGATGCCACCTTGTCATAAAAAGAAAGGAGATAATTGAGAGGCAATTTCTTTTGTATTCTCCTCAGGGAGGTATTGATACATGGAACTCTCTGGGCCTGATCATCTCAAGACTCTGACTGACAACTGGAGCTCTGGGGTTCTTGGACAAAGTCCTTACACTTGGAAGATTCTTTTTCCTCTTCTGAGGGCTTCCATCAGGGCAGTCTCCGAGGGCTTCCAGGAGGAGGTGGCAATGGGCTGTTTATGCCAGCAAGGAAGGGATCCTGGCAGTGTCCCTGTCGCTGGCCCATGGAAAGTGGTTGAGGGCAGCGTCTTCCCCTTCCAGTGGACCCAGGCCAACCATGGCTCTAGAAGCCTCAGTGTACTTTACTTCTTCCCTGAGAGAATCATGCCCTTCCTATGGTAAGATACTGCCCCATAGACTATTGGGGAGGGGCCCTGGTCTTACCTGGCAGCTGCAGGCCCATGGATCAATTGCCATCAGAGCTGCCTGTGCAAGTGCTATGTGTTTACTCCCCTGTCCACGCAGAGGTGGAGGAGACAGTGTATGTCCTCAGAACCTCGTCACCCAGGGACTGCTCACCATGGCCAAGTGGTCACCAGGAAGCAGGCACCAGGTCTTGTTTAAGTCCCCTCCAGGATCAGAAAATGTTTGAGTAATTTGGATTGGGAGACCTTTGGTGTGGCCTTGTAGGGATGGCTAGTGAGTGGCAGGAGGCAGTGGGAGCAGGAAGCTCAGAGGCCAGCAGGGCTTGCTGACAGGCCAACCATGAGCAAGAGTGGAGAGGCCACCTGTGCAGACTTCTGGTCAGCTCTCATTGACCCCAAACCGCACTTGACCTGCCCTGGTGTAGGTCTTGCTCATCCTGGGCCACACTCTCACTTTCTAGATTCTGTATGAGCTCTGACAGCAGCCTAGGGACACCACCAGGGAGCCCCTGGATGGCTGTGCTCCAACCTGGAAACCCCGATGGGGCTATAGATACGTGAGAATATTTCCTATCTCTGTATTTGTGTGACCTATACACCTGTATCTTGAACCCTTACTCCCTCCCAATCTCCTGGACAATGTTATTGCCTTGCACAGATGAAAAGACAAGAAAAGGGAAATGACCTTGCACCAAACAGGAGGAGGCTGTCTCTAATGCAGTTCTCTCCTGCTGGAAGCCTCTGCCTGCTGACAGCTGCTTAGATACCTGCCTAACATATCTCTTGTGGCCTTTCTGTCTCTGTGTGCTCTCTTTGCCCCCAGGATGACAATTTCTACCTCTGAGACCTCAGATAACTCTGTCCTGCTAGGGTATATGTCTCTGTTTGATGGTTATACTTCAATCCTGTGTATCAATATATAAGCCACTTATTGCCTTGGGCTAGTGATTGCGCTTCTCCATGCCTCAGTTTCCCCATCTGTAAATTAGGGGGTTAAATAAGAAAATATACATAAGGAATTTCACCTAATGCCTGGTACAGAGTAAGAATTGATGGGTGTTAAATGTTGTTACTAATGTTAGTCTGTCTTTGTTAAGTGACATTCTCCACACTCATGCTTTGTGATGGATTCTGACCCTGGCATGGGGACCCAGGGATGAAAATGCCCCTTATCCCTATTCACAAAGACTCCAGTTCAATGGGGGGAGAAATTCGTGTGACCAATTAAAGCACACAATGCCACAGGACTCATGACTTAGAAATGCAAACCCAAATACATTGTCATGATCTGCCTGAAGATGAAGAAAGCTCTGGAAGCTCCATGGTTCTAGTGTTGGCCAGAGGGCAGGGAAGCAGGCACTTGGTGGGAACAGTGTCAGTGCCGCTTGGATGGAGGGCAAGGTGGCAGGGTACATTGACCTTTCAATTGCCCTGCCCCTGAGATGCCAGTTCTGGATATGAGTCCACCTGAAACTTGCAAAAATGTTGGTTATGTTCAAGGGTTGGGATCCACCATTTTGACTGACCAAAACCACCCTTAATGGGCCCCAGTTGGTGACTGGGTGAATACGTTATGGTGTGACTAAACACAACCTTTATGAAAGAGGTTGAGCTATGTGTGTTGACTTGGAATGTATGTAAAATTTATTAAGTGAAAATAGCCAATCAAAATCCCCAGTGGTGGAACTGAAGGGATAGGGACTCCCTTTGTATTCTAACAGCCTTGGCTGATTCTGGAAGGATACTAAGATCTTTATAGTGGTTGGCTCAGAATTGCCTGGGGCAGGGCGCGATAAGGCTGGGAGGCACAGTTTTCGTTTGTTAGCAGGATGGATTTGTTGCATTCATAATTTGAGAAGAAATAGAGAGTTTGAAAATTGCAGGAGCTGAGGAGGAAGGCACAACATTTTTGTTACCTGTCACCTTCTCTCCCCATGTCACCTCATGCTGGGATTCCTGGCCTCCTGATGTGGGAAGGCTTTACCCAAAGCCCTGTCTTATCCTCACATGGAGGGTGGGGACCCCTATGCTGCCTTAGCACCTACAGACTCTGGGGCTTGTCACCTGCAGGCTGTCCCCTCCAGGGTAGGGACTGCTTGAGACCCCTGCCTCCAGGGCTGGGCAGTACCCCTTCCTTCAACATCACCAGAGTGCCCACTTGGTGTGACCCTCTGCCCGGCACACAGTAGGTGTTCAGGGGTGGTTCCCAGCCCCGCTGCTGCACAGACGACCCACCCAGGCTGCCAGTGTTTGTCTAGGTCAAGCACCTGCCGGTGTGGTTGGTGGTATTGCGCTGGGGCAGGCGGGAAGTTGCGCTGGGGATAGGGGTGTTTGTGGGTGGGCGGCGCCGACACCTCCCCGGGCGGGTCCCTGGGGTGCGCTGACAGGGCGGGTGCCGAGGCCGGCGCCGAAGGAGGCTGCCCGCCCGCCCGCGCCGCTGGGGGCCGCCCGCGGGCCGCCTCGGCCAGAGCGCGCCGTGCGCCCCGGGCCCCGCGCCGGCACACGCTTGGCGGCCGCGGCGGCGACACGCGCGGCGACGGCGGAGCCGGGCCGGGCAGCAGGAATGCGGAACCGGCGCGCGGGCTGAGGCCGCCGAGGATGGCGCAGGGGCGGCGGCGGCGGCGGGCGGCTCGCGCGGGGCCCTAGTGCGGCGGGGCTGACGCTCCCGGCCCCGGCATCGCCAGCGGGCGCATCGCGGCCATGGCCAAGGAGCGGCGGCGGGCTGTGCTGGAGCTGCTGCAGCGGCCGGGGAACGCTCGCTGCGCCGACTGCGGCGCCCCGGGTAGGTGCTGGCCCCGGGTGGGTTCAGTCTGGGGTGCGGCCCGGATGGGTGCAGGCTGGGGTGGGTGCAGGTGCGGGCTGGGTGCGCCCTGCATAGGTGCTGGCTCGTGTGGGTGTGGGACTAGGCTGGACGTGGCCCGGGTCGGTTGGGGCCGGTGCGTGCGCCCAGGGTGGATGCCCTTCTGGGTGGGTGCCGGCCTGGCCGCCAACCTCGGGGATGGGGAGGGGTGCGGCGGCGCCTGCGTGGCTGAGGGACTCGGGCCACACAGCTGGGTCCCTGCTCGGGTGGGGCGCAGGCCCAGCCGGAGTGCACCTGTAGGGACCCGAACGTCGCCCCTGGGCAAGGGCCGCACTGGAGGGCGCCTCCCAAGCCCCTGGCCTGCGTCTCTGTTGCGCTGTCCCCTCCCCCGCCGGGCTGCGTGTGTCGCTGTCACCCGCGGACCACCGCCGCGTTGCGAAACCTCGGACTCCGCAAAAAAAAAAAAAAAAAAAAAAAAGAGGAAATCGCGCAGAGCCTCTGGCTGCAGGGAGAGAACCACAGAGTTCCTGCCGGCTACAGACACTGGCCTGCAGGCTCTGTGCATGAGTGTGGGGGTCCACCTGGCTCGCCACCACCTGGAGGTGACGTCATAGGTCCCCAGCCTGGAGCTATCCTCCTGCACCACGCCCGCCATAGCAGGGAAGAGAGCCCCTGCCACCCACACGTGGACCCTGAGGGAGAGGACTCCCCTCCCCCTTCCCGCAGCTCTGGGGCAGGTGTGGCCAGTTCAGATGGGGGCGGGGTGGGGGGTGCGGGGAGGGCAGGTAGGACTCAGAACAGGCACGGAGCCCAGCTGCACCCTGTCTTCTTACAGGCATCCAGTGGACTTTGTTCTTGGGTGGCCGCTGCTCTGGTGTGATTTTTAGGGCGTTGCAGTGGCCAGGGTGCTTCCTCTCCGTCGGCGGGCTGCTAGTCCTGGGCTTGGCAGGAGGAGGGAAGCCCCAGCAGGCTGCTTCTGAGCTCTAGTTTCCCCTCCCCCAGCGTGTGGGTGGGGCAAGCACAACTTCTAAAGGACCCCTTGCTCAAGCTTCCCAGGGTGGAGGATGGCCCCTCTCAGCAGCTGTCCCCAAGGCGCTGCAGGGGGATATTGGACATACTACCTGGCATTTCTAAGTCTGAACCACTCAGAACGAACCTAACACACCACCGAGTGGTTCATGCCCCCTGAGAGGGTGGGGATATGGGTTTGAGATATGCATCTTCTGGACACCCCTAAAATAGGACCAAGTTCTCAGCTCCCCCTTCCCCCACTTCCTGGCCAAGGGGTCTCTAGCAGCCCCACTCTGGGGAATCTAATGGCCAGTGCAGTGTGGTGAGGAGAGGCCACACCAGGAGGTTGATTGTCTCAGAGGGAGGCAATGGCAGGCTTTCCTGGAGGTCAGGCAGGGCAGAGGTGGCCTCCCCTGGCCCCTGAGCAGGCCACTGCATGGTGCAGCGTCACCACCAGACCCGCACGCTGCTCTAGCTAGCTGGTGGGGCTCACCGCAGTTTCTCCCCCACCTCTTCAAGAGACCTGTATTTCCACTTCTTTACCAAAGCTGGTGGTATCAGGGAGAGGTTGGTGAGAAAGGGCAGTCAGCACTTACACTCTGCCGGGGGTGGGGATAGGCCTGTCCTTCACCTTTCTGGCCACACTGCTTATGGCTGACTTTTTTGGACACAGGGCCTCCCTCCAGCCTGACAGGTGAAAGAAGGTCTTCTTTGGTGTGTCTGGCCTCCAGTGTCTTCTCCCCTCCCATGGGCACTCCCTTCCCCAGCCCATTGGCTGATCCAGGGGCCTTTTCCCTCTCCATTGGCTCTTGAACAGAGCCCGGCACTCCCTGGCACCGGCTACGCTCCTGGTTTTTCAGAACTGCCCATGACATCACCATCATGCCTCAGCTGTCTGACAGTCCCATGGAGCAGGCAAGATATTGTCCCCATTTTACAACTAGGGAAACTGAGACTTTGAGAACTTGAACTGTCTTGGGGGACATGGTACTTCAAATCTGACCAGTCCTTTATACCCAATCTTTGTGCCCCTTTTTAGGCCTCCTGCCCTGCTCCTGGGGTGTCAAAGGCAGGAGATCTACTGCTCAGCTTTCCCCTTAGGGCCTCTGGAAATGCCCACCCAGGCTCTCTGCTTCTTGGCTGAAGCCTGCCTGGCCTCTTTATGTTCTGTGCCACTGTGGGGTGCAGCTGTGGCTTCCCATTCCTGGTGTGGTCCCAGTGGGCATCCAGGGACCACCCTCACATTGATGGGGGCACTGTGTTATGCTGTGGTCAGAATTTCTTCCTAATAGCTACTCTTTCTGACCGCAGCTGGACAGGAGGCCATTGCTGCAGTGAGGGTCCCCACAGCTCTGTCCAGCAGGACACAGGGTAGGCCTGGGCCACTTCTTACCACTAGGTATGGGGATTTGGGTACATATGGGCAGACCTGGTCAGGTGTCCATGCGAGGGCTGCTGGAAGCAAGGCAATCTGGTGGGGGACAGCAGCTCCCTCTGTATCTGGTCCCAGGCCCTTCCAGTAATAGGCTTCCCCTGCCCTGATATCTGGATGTGAGTGGCCTTTGGGGCTAATCCTAGCAGCTCAGCTTAGCCAGGACTGGAGGATGTGCCTGAAAGATAGGTGGCAAACTCAGAACAGGAATAATGTTCAACCCTGGAAGGCTTCAAGGCAGAGATGACTTTCCAGAAATTGCTGTAATTCAGGATAGAAGCACCTTGGTGGGGAGGAATGTAGGAATTGGGCCTAGTTTCAGACAGGGTCCCTTGTGGCAAGGTGGCTGGCAGGGGGCTGCTGAGGAGTGGGTTGGGCTGATAGCCCCTCTTCCTGGGATAGCAGGGACTTAAAAAAAACTTTTTCCTATGGTGTTAAAATATATATAACATACAAATTACCATTTTAACCATTTTTAATGTAGTGTGGTGACATTAAGTTCATTCACACTGCAACCATCAACACCTCTTTTCATCTTGTAAAACTGAAACTCTGTCCCTGTTAGACACTAACTCCCATCCCCTCCCCCAGGCCCTGGCAACCACGATCCACTTCTTGTCTCCAGGGGCCTCATAATTGGAATCACACAGTGTTTGTCCTTTTGTGTCTGGCTTATTTCACTCAGCATGTCTTCAATTATTTATCCATGTTGTAGCAGGTAGCAGAATTCCCTTCCTTTTAAAGTTTGAATAATATTCCCTTATGTGGATGGGCCACATTTTGTTTATCCCTTCATCCCTCGGTGGACACTTGGGTGGCTTCCACCTCTTGGCTGTTGTAAGTCATGCGGCTGTGAACATGGGTACACAAGTGTCTGAGTTCCCACTTTCAGTCTTGGGTTTATATCAAGGAGGGCCATTTTGGATCCATGGAGATGCCGTTTGACTGTTTGGGAAACCACCAGGTTTTCATTACCTGGTTTTGTGCTCGGGCTGCAAGCCAGCAGGACTCTCGTGCCTGCCCATCTGGTATGGAGGGCTGCTGCCAGCAACAAACACGTGCTCAGGGCTAAGGAGAAGCTGGAGACCTTTCCCTCTGCCCATGAACTTGGTGGCCCAGCACCTTTCCCTTCCTGCTCCCCAGCATAGAAGGTATGGTTACCCTGGTCTCAGATGCTGAGGGAGACTCACTCAGCTGAGCTTATCCCAGAGTGAATTCCCCAAGCTGCTGGGTTGACCGGAGGATGGGGTGGCTTCTCCCTGCACATGTGTGTGAGCTGGGCTTCTGCCCCAGATGCATTCTGGGTGGGGCGGTTATACTGCCCCATCCTCTAGCCCCTCACTCCTGGATTGCCACTAGCTTTAGACTCAGGCTAAACTGCCTGTGCCAGGAGCCTGCCAGTGGGTGCTTTACTTACCTGTTCGCTTTTTTCCACACCTGTGAGATGGTGCACCCCCTCCATTTCACAAATGAAAGAATTGGAAGGACTCTATTCCATGACGTCCCACTGTGTGGATGGACCATACTTTGTTTATCAATTCATCTGTTGACAGACACTTGGATCGCTTCCATGTTTGGCTATTGTGAATCATGCTGCACACGGGACAAACAAGTACAAATATCTGTTTGAGTTTCTGCTCCCAGTTCTTTTGGGCCTAGAATCAGAAGTGAATTGTTGGATTGTATGGTCATCTTGTCCTTTCCCCAGTACATATTCTTGGCTTTTTTGTCATAAATTAATTGACTTTCTATGTGGATTATTTCTAGATTCTCTCTTCTGCTGAATTATGTGCGTGTTTGTGCAAATACCATGTTGTTTTGATTACTATACTTTGTAGTACAGTTTGAAATCAGGGAGCATGATGCCTTCAGCTTTGCTTCTCCTTCTCAAAATTATTTTGGCTATTCGTTTTCAAGATTGTTTTGACTACATGAAATCCCTTGACAGTCCATTTGAATTTTAGTATGGATTTTTTTTTTTAATTTCTGCAGAAACTGACATTGGGATTTTTATAGGGATTACATTGAATCTGTAGATCACTTTGAGTATTTTAACAATAATATCAAAATTTTGGGACATTTTAACAATATTAACTTTTCCAATCCATGAACATATTTAATGTTTTTCCATTTATATATGTTTCCATTAATTTCTTCAGCCGTGTCTTATAGTTTTCATTGTACAAATCTTTCATTTCCTTGACTGAGTTAATTCCTTAGTATTTTATTCTTTTTGATGCCCTTTTAAATGGAATTATTTAATCTTCAGATTGTTTATTATTTCTACATAGAAATGCCACTGATTTTTGTGTGTTAACTTGCATGCTCCTACCTTGCTAGATTTGTTTTTAAATTCTAACAGTTATTTTGTGGAATATTTAGAGTTGTCTGCATTTAAGATCATATCGCAAACAGATAATTTTATTTCTTCCTTTCCAATTTGCATATCTTTATTTCTTTTTTTCTTGCCTTGTGCTCTGGCTATAATTTTCAGTACTATGCAGAATAGAAGTTGTGAAAGTGAGCATTCTAGGTTGTC